GAATGGCACACAACTTGAAACTTATGAATTGTTTATTTCTGGAACTTTCCATTTAATATTTTTGGACCATGGTTAATTGCAAGTAACTGAAACCTCGAAAAGTGAGTAAGTGCAGACTACTGTATAAGGGGCTTATAACAGCGTCACCTTAGCTGACTCAAATGTCCACTTTACCCGGAAAAGCACTTTTGGATCGCTTCAGGTGTGAGCTGAGCTAGCTGTGTGTGTGTGTGTGTGTGTGTGTGTGTGTGTGTGTGTGTGTGTGTGTTTCATGGAACACCATAGCTATTTAAAGAACAACTGATAGACAAACCATGTTATTAGGTATTTGGCAGAAATTTTCTTAAAAATGAATGGAGCAAGACTACATTGAATACATTTATACTGATAAAAGCTTTTAAATTACATTAGCTTTGGGCACACATAATCCCATACCCCAGAAGTACTTTGTATATAAGCCTGATTTGCTCAAGCAATCATGAAGCAGTGATGTATACATACTAATGTATCACAACAAAGCCTTACATTACTTCCCAGTGGGAAATATTAGTCCTTGAAGAAAAGAATAGGTAGGACAAGAACATAGCCAATAACATTGTATGAACTGTATGTGGTACTATGTGGACACTTGAAATATTGGAGTGATTGCTTTGTAAAAGATGTGATTGCCTAACTGCTATGTTGTACAGCCAAAACTAATACAAAATAGTATTGAATGTAAACTGTAATTGAAAAATAAAATATAAAAATAAATGAAAGATAAATAAAAAATAAATTTGTAATCTCCAGAAAACATAGGACAGAAATATGTGATTTCATTGGTCTCGTGCCACTAAACATTTTTTATGTGCCTAGTAAAGATGAAATAAGCTATGAAAGCAATTCATTGGTAGACAACGATTTTCAATCATTCATCTCCTTTTTTTTTCAACAAACGTTTACCAAATACCTAGTAAGTGCCAGGTACTAGAGTTACGTGTTTCATAGATTGGTTTCTAGTTAGTTACTTGGAAGAGGCAGATTTGTAAAATACAGACATACCTCATTTTGTTGTGCTTTGCTCTAGTTAGTTTCACAGATGTATATTTTCACAAATTTAAGGCAAGACCCTCCAGCAGCCAAAGGATAATGCCTTGCTTTACTGCGGTGGCCTGGAACCAAACCTGCGGTATCTCCACGGTATGCCTGTAGCTATAATCCTAGGCGGTGGGAGGTGTACACGAGTGCAACCAAAGCACAGAAGGCGTGATAAATCCCTTCTTCCAGGTGTTTGCAGGCTTGAGCTACAGGGGCAGTAAACTGGACTTGAGTTTGAGGGAGTTAAAACTCTTGAACAGTCCCACAAAGTTAACATACAGGTATCAATATAAGAGCAACCTCACATGTCACCATTTCCACCTCAAAGTCAGTGGATGTCAGCTCTAGACCTGTTCTAGCCTGGAGTGAGTTCTTAATGGCACCAAGCCAGCTGAGCTAGATTAGGGGTGCCAAACAAGCCACCTGGTGATCCTTTTGTAGTGGTGGGAAGAAGCATTTTGTCTCATTATGCTGCAGAAATTTTTTCCCACTGTTCCTTTGTGGGCTGGCTTTCAGTATAAGAACTCCTTGTACAAAATGAGTCCAGGAATTTGAAGTAGGATTTTCCTATGGAGGAATAGAATGTTCCTCATTGACTCAGCCAACTAGCTTCTTGAAATCTGAAGGGTTACTCCTGGTCCTTTTATGTTTTTCTAGGATGAAAGATATGACGGTGCTGACATTCATGCCCGTCAGGAACTATATAATATGTAGCATCTTTGCCTTCAGCCAGGGATGTGGCTGACAGTCAAGCCAATTGAATGAAGTGACAATAGCCATTTCCAGTGTGACCAGTAGCTGTCCCATAAATTGATGAACTTGAAGAGTCTTTAAAAAAAGGGAAGAAACAATGTAGTTGTGATGGATCATTTTATGTGTCAATTTCATCAGGCCATGGTTTCTAGATATTTGGTTAAACACAAGTCTAAATTTCACCATAAAGATTTTTTTTTTAGATGGCATTAATATTTTAATGGGTAGATTTTGAGTAAAGCAGATTATATTCCTTAATGTGAGTGGGCCTCATCTAATCAGCTGAAAGCCTGATGAGACAAAAAACAGCGACCCCTAGAAGAGGACCACTTTTGGACTCAACATCAGCTCTTCTCTGGGTCTTCAGTCTGCCCATGCATCCTGCAGATTTTGGACTTGCCAGCTTCCACAGTTGCATACGCCAATTCCTGAAAATAAATTCATCTCTGTGTATACACATTGTACTGGTTCTGCTTCGCTGGAGAATACTGACTAATAAAGTAAGATACTAAAATTTTGAAAAATGATGGTAATTCTAGGGAGGGCTTAGAAGATCTGTGTGCAGAACGTGATTTAGTCTGCTTAACCCCAGGGGATGCACATGCTTTATAAGGTTCTCTGTTCTTTAATTGTTTGGGTTGCAATTGACTTTCTGTTCCTATAGCTACTCAGGGATTTCTTTAGTCCTCACACCCCATTTTTTCCCTTTTCTCTAGGTCCATTTAATTTAATTAAAATTCAAATATATGTACTTCCCCAATATGTTATAACTGTATGTAAAATTTCCTAAAAAGCTAGTATTGGGAAACTCATGAATTAACTATCACTTTTTTTGGGGGGGTGTGGGGGATGGGGAGGAGAATCAAATGAAGGAGTCTTTTGGAATTTTTGTTGCAATCTCTGTGCTATTTACCATTAGAAAGCATTTTATACTCATGATCTACTACCCTCAGGCCTAGAATGTGCTCATAGCCCATGGGGATTTTAAGAACCACGTTCCCCACAAAACTATGCTTTCCTGATGGTTTCAGGGGCCCTCAGAGCAATCCACAAGTTCTAGAATCTCCAACACTGGGTTTCCTGCCCCTGATATTACCTGGGAGAACTGAAGACTGGAGGAGGACCGGCAACTGGAGGCAGAGACGGATTCCTGGGCTCAGACTCCACCCGCCCTGATGAGCTCGTAGGGGCAGAATGCGAGTGAGGGGGGCTGCGAGTGTGTTTGACCGGCCAAGTGCAATTTCTGCATTTAAGAGCTTCATTGACAACCTCAGAAACAAGGAAACATAAAAGATATCCATTGATTGTAGTCAAAACACAGTTTTGGAGCTGGATTTCAGCCATGCCTCAATGACTGTTGGTGAGATTCCTAGAGAGGTTTGGCCCACAGGCTATAATCAGGGTTCAGAACAGATTCCAACAGTCCTAGGAACCGTTGCTTCCAATTTCCTAACTTTGAATGTGAGCTGCCTGTCCCAAGACATAGAATGTAGCCAAGTGTCTCCGTTACACATCTCAGCTCACTAAAACAGATGTGCATAATAAATATCTTTATTTTTCTGTAACCATAATCATGGTTTTGGGTCCCCAACCACAAAGGTGGGAGAAATTTAATTGCAGCCAATTCCGGATTCTCATCTTTACCCATAGGCGTCTGCCCGAACTTAATAGCCCACGGCCTCCGATTTCTGTATCTTCTATCCTCCTGAGAATCCCCTGAAACTTTCGTGTCTCAGTCCAGTCCTTGGTGGTCATCCCGGGCAGCCTGCTATGGAGTCTTTCTTACTGCTCACTGCATGGCCCTTTAGGTGGCGGCTTTCTCTGGTAACTTCTGTTCCACTGTCAGTTACTGTCCTTCTCCCACGGCCTGCTTTCTTCTGTATTGTTGTTCCCTTGCAGCTCTAGCCAGGAAATAGGCCTATTGGGTTTTGGAGCCCATAAACTCTCTTGGGGATATCAGGGAGCAAGTGAGGAATTGATCCACATTTACCACTTTTATTTTTTTTTTATTATTATTATTTTTTAATCCTCACCCAAGGATATGTATATTGGTTTTAGAGAAAGAGGAAAGAAGTGAGAGAAGAAGAGAGAGGAGAAGGAAACAACGATCAATTGTCTCTTGCACACACCCTGACCAGGGATTGAACCTGAAACCTAGGTATGTGCCCTGAACAGAAATCGAACCCTCATCCTTTTTTGTGTATGGGAGGACACTCCAACCAACTGAGTCACCTGGCCAGGGCCACACATTGCTTTTAAAGCTTCCTTTTAACTCTCAGAGGGTGGGAATATCTTATTTGTATGTACAAAGCATCCTTCCATGTCCTCTCTCTATACTACATGTTTTTGTATATTCTTTCTATTAGCAGAGAATGGGACAAAGACCAGTCCTGAGTAGGAAAGGAAATACTGTGGGGAAGGAGTAGTATTTTTAAAAAATTAACCTTCATTATAAGTTGAGAGTGAAATTGTCAGAACTGAGTTACAGAGTTTGTTGTCCTTGAAGGGAAGTTATCCCAAGAAAAGAAGAAATATGTGAGACATATTTGAGAGGTGGATTGGGAACGTTGCTTTATTAGAAAACTAGTAACCACCTGTAGCTCTTTTACCCTAAGTCTGCCTGCATTTTCTTTGATAGTAATTTTCAGGAGTGAAATATGTTGCTGTTTTGCTACTGTGTATCTGGATAACAATAAGCCAGATTCCTAACACATTGATGGATTTTGTAATTTAATAAGCTTTTATTAAATGAATGAATGATAAAAGCTGTAGATAGCAGCACAGAGCTAAATGAGCAGGGGGAGCTTCACAAATGTTTACCATTTGAAAGATGGATGCAAAATTAACATTTTCTCTTGCTCAGGAGGCATTTTGTAGTCTCGGGGAGCAGTATGTATACATTAGGGAACTTATTTCATTAACAGTTCTCAGCCAGGCCTTTGGCTATTGAATGTTGACACAATAAAAAACCCACTAACCAACCAACCAACCAACCAACCATCCACTCTGCAGAGCTGTGTTAAGGATACTGGACTTTAACTTCTTGATTGGCGGTATTACCAGCTGACCTGTGAGATGGATCACTGTGGTCAAAGGCTATAAGTTATGATGTTTGCCTCTTAAAAAGTAAATGCTACCCTGAAGTTCACAGTTTGCAACTTGCAAGTGACAGGTGAAGTGACAGCATGGATTCATGGATTCTGTCTTGGGTTCTGTTCCTTGCTTCTTTCCTCATAGTTTCTGGCTTGGTAAGAAAACAATGCATGGAAAACAATGAGAAAAATTTGGGGCGTGTGATACCAATTGTTAAAGAAAAAATTGTTCACTTCTTGTGTTTTATGAATTTCAAAGTGTTAATGAAATGAGCGTTTCTTTTTGGCAGGCGGGGCAGGCAGGGCACAGGGAGCGAGAAGACCTGCCAGACAGAGTCAGAGACATTGATGTGAAGTTATGTTCTTTGTGCTTCATTGTTGTGTAATGAGTTTTCTTTGATAAGATAGAAAATGTGAAATTTGAAAATCATTCCATTTTTATTGCTGAATGACATCGCACTACTGTCAGAGTAACATGAGACAGGAATGGAAGGAATGACAATTGTCACAGGCTCAGTAAATACTGACAAAGTTTGGTAGCATGGGGTTTTTCTTCTACTTCTGAATCGAGCCCAGTCCTGCTAAGTGACAGGTAGCTTGTACCACAAACCAATCCAGGGTGATAAATGAAGTTCCAAATGCTTGGGGGGAAACTTAGTTGTGATTTAAAAATAACAGTTCTTGTATTATGCTGATATTCTGTGAACAGGAACTATAGCATTGAGAACAAGAGAAACCATTTGATAACATTAGAACTGTAATTATGAAAAAAATACTTGGTATTTTTAGTAAAAAAAATATTTTCAGAAAAAAATACTTGCTTTAGTAGGACCGCTTTGGCATTCCTGTGAGTATAGCACTTGTTACTATCAAAAAGGATGGCGATCATCTGACTAGCTTGTACCCACTGCTTGCCAAATGTTCCAAATTATCCTAGGTTTTAGATGTATTTATGTATTTACATAAAATTGTACCTTATATTTGTGTGACATTTTCTTAGAGTTTAAAAAGTGCTTCCACGTGATATCATATAACCTTCATAATACCCATACAGAGCAGATGTTGACTTTATTTTACTGATAATTTGAATATCAAGAAGGGGAACTGACTTGTGGTTAGTTGGCGGAATCAGGGATATAACCCAGGTCTACTATGTATCAGTCCGATGAGCTTTTTTTTTTCCTTCTTAAATCCTCACTTGAGGGCTTTTTTTTTTTTCTTCATTGCTTTTAGGGAGGGAGGAAAGGTTAAAGAGAAACATCGATGGGAATAGAAGCATTGATTGGTTGACTGCCTTACGCACCAGACAGAGGACTGGCGACTGGAGGGGGATCCTATGCCTCCTGAAGTGGCGGGGGTCAGGGGGGAGCTTGCACATGCCAGCACCTGGGCCAGGGATCGAACCTGCAACCCTTCAGTTATGGATTGACTCTCCAACCAACTGAGCCGCACCAGCCAAGGCAGTCCCATGAGCTTTTGAAAATCAGATTACATTGAGAAATTTCTCAGGTTTTCTTAATTTTTCCATTGATGTAGTCTGGGTTTCATTTGGTTACTTCTATCTTCAGAAAGTTTTTTCTTTTTAAATCACAATATTATCTATACCCATTGACATTTTTCTTTGGTATTGTCTCTGAAGGCAGTCTTAAGGAAAATATGAAAGTGAACCATGATTAATGACGTCTTCAATAAAATTTCTTTTTAAAAGATTGTTATAAAGTACACTAACATTTCAATGTTGGGAATAAATTTTCAGGCTGTTCAAACATTGTTCCATGAATCTTTAGAAATTCATGGTGAAAGAGAACACAGTTCAGGGCTGGAGTCCTGTGTTCTGCCTTCTCTGCTGTCTGTGAAGCTGGTTTCTTGTTTATTTCACTTTCAAATTCACATAACAGGATTTTTTTTTATATGAAATGGGAAGACCCTTTGACTTCAATTTAGCTGTCTTAGATATGTGTTGGAAAGTAATTTATAGTAATAATGGAAGAAATCCTCACAAATGGCTAGATATAAATCAGAACCAAAAAGACCATTTATATCATGGGCATTATAATAATATCTCCTTTTATGTGTTTGTTTTCCAGCCAACTCCAGAAAATTTTGGTGAGTGCATTTTGATATTTGCTCTAAGTTGTATTAAAATAAAATTATGTGTATAGTAGAACAATAGAACAGAAGAAGTTAGGACAGCTTTAATGCTAAGTACATGCATAATTGCATTGAACTTTGATCAAATGGTGTCTTCTCTTGATTCATTGAATAACGTTTTATTGTTCCTATACCAGAGTTGAGCATGCCAGCAGAAAAACAGATGGTGGCATAAGGGAGGTCAAACACAGTGACGGACACGCAGACATCCATAAATGCTTGCTTTAATTAATTTTGCTATTTTGTGTCAAATCAGATGAAGATCCTATTCAGTTGCACATTGAGAGATATGGCCATATTATTCACCCCTTGGCAATTTAAAAGAGAAATTTAAATTTAGATTAGGAATTTTGCTTGAGAATTCCAAGGTATGCTACTGCAAAGAGTATACAGTTAGAGGTAGAAAGGACTGGGGTGACTACATTTAAATATTTGCTTTCTATTAATGTAGTCATCTTACTTAGTCTTCCAAATTAAGCTTAATATTATATGGAGTAATCAGTTTCTTATTCCTCAAGTTATCTGGAATGCAAGGGACATGAATAGAACAAAAGCAAAAGCCCCATAGTCTCAAGCCTGGCCCATAAGAGGTTCTTAATCAGTCAATCAATTTGTGTATATTGATTTGGAACCTAGTAGTCACTTATCTGAGGCAAGAGAACGTTGCTCACTTCTAATTCAATAATTGATAAAGATCTTCCTCTTTCTATACATACTGTTCAATGTGTTTTTCTTTGTTATTTTAAAGATGTAGATGGTGGAATTGACCAGGATATATTTGACATCAATGAAGGTTTGTGCATATTTTTTTACACCCTTTATTTTTTAAAAATATGTTTTATTGGCCCTGACTGGTGTGGCTCTGTGGACTGAGCACTGCCCTGTGAACTTAAAGGTCACTTGTTCGATTACCTGTCAGGGCACATGCCTGGGTTGTGGGCCAGGTTCTGGTTGGGGGCCTGCGAGAGGCAACCAACTGATCGATGTTTCTCTTGCACATCAATGTTTTTCTCCTTTTCCTCTCTCCCTCCCCCTTGCCCTAAAAATAAATAAATCAGTCAATCTAAAAAATATATTTTATTGATTATGCTATTAAGTTGTCCTAATTTTTCCTCCTTTGACCCCCTCTTCCTGGTACCCCCATCCCTTCCAGTAATTCCTTCCCTTAGTTCATGTCCACGGGTCATGCATATAAGTTCTTTGGCTTCACATTTCCTATACTATTCCTAACATCCTCCTGTCTATTTTGTACCTACCAAATTATGTTTCTTAACCCCTGCACATTTTCCAAGTGATCTCCATATCTATGATTCTGTTCCTGTTCTGATTGTTTGCTTGGTTTGTTTTTTTAGAATCAGTTGTTGATAGTTGTGAATTTGTTGTCCTTTTAACGTTCATGGTTTTGATCTTCTTCTTTTTCTTAAATAAGTGCCTTTAACATTTTATGTAAGGATGGCTTGGTGACAATGAACTCCTTTAGCTTTACCTTGTCTGGGAAGCACTTTATCTGTCCTTCCATTCTAAATGATAGCTTTGCTGGATAAAGCAGTATAGGTTGTAGGTCCTTGCTTTTCATCACTTTGAGTACTTGTCAGTTCCTTCTAGCCTGCAAAGTTTCTTTTGAGAAATCAGCTGACAGTCTTATGGGAACTGTTTCATAAGTAACGGCTTTTTTCTTGCTGCTTTTAAGATTCTCTCTTTATCTTTAGCATTTGGCATTTTAATTATGATGTGTCTTGGTATGTTCCTCTCTGGGTCCAACATGTTTGGGATTCTCTGTGCTTTCTGGACTTGTATGTTTATTTTCCTTCACTGAATTAAGAAAGTTTTCTTTTATTATTTTTTTCAAATTAGTTTTTAATCTCTTGCTCTTCCTTTTCTCCTTCTGGCACCTCTATAATACAGATGTTGGTGCTTTTGGAGATGTCCTAGAGGCTTCTTATTCTATCCTTGTTTTTTTGAATTCTTTTTTCTTCTTACTGTTCTCATTGAATGCTTTTTTTTCTCTTATGTTCCAAATTGTTGGTTTGATTCTCATTTTCATCCCTCCCACTGTTGGTTCCCTTTAGATTGTTCTTTATTTCACTTAATGTAACCTTTATTTCTGCCTGGGTCTTTTTAATGTTGTCACCACACTCAGTGAGTTCTTTGAGCATCCTGATGACCAGTGTTTTGAACTCTGCCTTTGATAGGTTGGTTATCTCCATTTTGTTTAATTCTTTTTCTGGAGTTTTGTTCTGTTTTTTAAATTGGGCCATGTTTCTTTGTCTCCTCAATTTGGCAGTCCCTCCCTGCTCCCCATCCTGCGTGTATTTCTGTGCATTAGGTAGAGCTGTTTTGACTGCCTGTCTTAATGTGCCCTATTGTAGAAGAGAGCAAACCTGTAAATTGTGTGGGGTGAGTCTTAGGTGATGGCCAGTGTGAGGCAACCTGTTTCACCATTTTGTGGTGGTGTGTTGGGGGAGGGCTCAAAGATGGGACAATGCCTCTGTGTGGCTTCTAGAGGTTCACCTGGGAGGCTGCTTCTTGACACTCGCCCTGTTTCCAGTCACTTCACTTTCTCCCTGTATTTCACTTGTGCCCTTCCAGCTGTTGCCCTGATGCTGAATCTGAGAGTGGGTGGGTCTGCATAAGTCCTAAGTCTGTGTGGGCCCTTTAATAGGTGTCTCCTGATAATCCAGCAGTTTCTTCTGCCTCCCCAACCACCAATGGTTTTGACAGCCAGAAGCTATGGGGATTTATCTTCCTGGCCCTGGAACCCTGGGCTGGGTGGTCTGGCGTGGGGCTGAGATCCCTAGCTCCTAAGGTATGCCTCCCAATTTTTATCCACTGCATGTGAATGTGGGACTGCCCATTATGCCACCTCTCTGTGCCATTCCAGGGGCTCTGCGCTTCTCTGCACCTCTCCACCTCTCCACCTCTCTCTGAGTCACGGCCCCTCCTACCTGTCTGGATAAATGTGGCATCTTTAAATCCTTGGTTGTTGGATTTCCATACAGCTCAACTTTCTGATGGTTCTGGGTGATATTTGTTACAATTTTTATCACAAGTGTGTTTATCCACTTCTTGACCAGAAGTCCTTTATGTCCTTTATTATGTAGGAAGTTTAAGCAAATTTGCTAACATGAATCTTTATCTTTCCTCTTAGATTTGGGACTGGACCTTCATGAGGGAGACATCAAACTTGACGGGGTGAGTTGAACCAATGCAAGGAAGAATCTTCTATTAATCACTGCGAGCTAAAATACAAAATATCTGAGAATGATTGGACAGCATGGACTTAGTTAAGTCTAACTATCTCTAAATGCACAAATTCATGGTGACACATTTATTCAGCGAATATATTGTACTGTCAGGGACTCATATAATAGTGTCTTTGTGATCTGTTACTCAGATTTCTGTGTGGTTAAAGTCACAATCACTCACCATGGATGCCTTGATCTTTTTGATTTGCATTACTGAAACAATAAGATGTTCTCATTTTTAAATAGAAACTCATTGATTCCATCTAGTTGAAGCAAAGTGAAACTGAATTGTTAGAGACCTTCAATAAATCAAGTTTTTTACCCTAAGAGATATATTTTGTGACTTCTACCCTGAAAACTAAAAATAGTGTTGCCAAGTAAAGGTCTTTCCATACCTTTCAGAGTCTTCCCTCTTAGTGAAATCATTACCACACATTTACCTCATGCCACTAAGTAAAAAATCCAAGCTTCACCTTTGCTTCTTCCCTTTCCTTCACCCCACTATCCAGTCCACCAGCAAGTTCTGTCATTTCTATCTCCAATGTATGCCTCAAATAATCTGTTTTTCTCCTAATCTGTCTTTTTATTTCAAATACTGTCCTTTTCTAAGGGGAATACCCTGTCCCTATTAACAACAAAGTGATCTTTTAAAATAGACAAACACACCATTTCACTTCCCGGCTTGAGACTCTTCAATAGCTTCTGATTGCATTTAGAATATTATCCAAATTTACCCATAGCCTTCAAGACTGTGCATAATTTAACTCCTGACTACTTCTCCTCCCATTTCTTCTCTTCTCTCCCCCTTCCTGTCCCCTCCCTCTCCCTCCCTTCCCTTCTCCTCTTCTCTCATTTCTTTTCTCTCCTAACTCGTTAGGCTACTGGCCTCAAATCATCTCAGAACATACCAAGCATATTCCCATGTCAGAAACAGAGCAACTACTGTTTCCTCTGCCTGAAATGATCTCCCCAAGGTCACTTTCACTTCTGGCTCTCTCTTATTATTACTACTTCATCTTAAATGTCATCCTTTCAAAGAGTCCTGTCCTGGCCACTTTATCTAATGTAGTACCCCATCCCTTTACTTCTATCCACATACTACTTGTCTCTTTCACAAGGTATTATTAGTTCCATGAAGGTAAAGACCTCGGTAGTTTTGTTTTCAGCAAGTCCCTATTCTCTCAAGCAGTATTCATTTTGTTGATTGGATGAATACATTAAAATGAAATATATTAGGTTTTTACTATAAAAACTTCAAGTTGTTTAAAAAACTTTTTAAAAAAATAAAAAGTTAAAAAAAACTTTGGCCTAACTCATGTGACTTTTTCTGACTCTGTCAGGTCAAGATCATTGAGGTTTTGCTGTTAACTCCTTCCTGTATATTTTTAATTTCTTGTATAGAAAGCTAGTCTATAAGCCTACCAATACATATAGTTCAGTTTTATAACAATCATTCTTCACACAGTTTTGCATGATTTCTTCTTCAACTCTATCAACAAAATTAATGATAGAAACTTCTTCCTAAAAACTTTGTTCTAATATGATAAAAGTAGAGGTACCTACACATGCAGGTCTTCACACACACATGCAATTTGTTTAAGCTGACTGGGAGAGCTTAAAATTTTATTTCTAGATTAATTATTGGTTATTTTGTATGTTTTTGCCTGATTTGTTTAATTACCTCTTTCACATTTATTTTTGACAGGTACAAGATAGAAATTCCATCATTGGAGAAAACTATAGATGGCCTCACACCATTCCATATGTTCTAGAAGATAGCTTAGGTTAGTATACACGTTGGAATATACATAACTAATCTACGTTCCAGAAAGAAAGAAAGAAAGAAAGAATATGATTGCAGTATTTCCAAGGGTAGGCCACTATGGTCTTTGAAAGTTTTTTGTATTGTTGTTTTGTGTAGCTTTGTACAGTTACTTAAAAAATAAGCAAAGTCAACAATGAAAAGAACCTAAGTGACTTTGTCTGAAATATTTGCTGAGCTTTGACCAATAAAAGAATTAATTCAACCAGCATTTATGAAGCGCCTACTCTATGCCGGATTATTTCATTTTAGGGACATAAAGATTAGAGCACTAGCATTTATTTTAAAGCAATGGCTTCCCATATGTACAGATTTGAGTAAAAAACCAAAACAATCAAACAAATAAAACTCTAGGAACTGGCATTGCTGTACCAACATTATATTTTGCCGAGTCAGGAGCTTAACCAACAAGAACCCACTATCTTTTATCACCCTCTTTTCATAAAATAAATAGTGTCATAATAACATAAAGTCAGCAGAATCTAATCCAAAACTAAGAAAACATTAATTGTAATGGACAACTCTAAACATGATCTTTGTTTTATTTATAGACTAGTGAAAATGGCATCTTTGACCAGCATCAGTTTAGGAACTGCTGTTTGGGAAAGATTTCTTTAAAGATTGTACATCTCAGTGGAGATCCAGATAAACCAAAAACTAATTATAATAGAATGGAACAGAGATAATGATTCATCATGTGTTCAAAGAGCTCTCGGAGCAATCTGGGTATAAAGGCATGATTATTAGGCAGCAGGGGGCTCTAGGCAGCAGGGCTGCATGAAGGCTGTGCAAATTGTACACCGCGCAGGACTGCTGGGGAGCGGGCAGGAGTGGGACTGAAACCGAGTTTGCATTCTGCTCATCAAGAGACATTCATTTCTTTGCATGAAGTGCTATTCATCCATCACGAAAGTGCTTACAGCATTTCCCCAGATGAGGTGCCTCTTTCTAATGTGCAGAAAAGCATTGCCGGGTTCCACCGGGCTTCTGAAAGCAAAGGAAATGTTCCCCGGGCAGATGTGCAAAGGCGTGGGGAAGGGAAAAGCCCCTTAGCTGGAATTTAGTTTGGAAGTAGAGAGATAATGAGGTTGAACAGGTAGGTAGGATCCACGTTGGGAAAGTCTTTCCCATGTTAAAAATTTGGTATTTATACTGATGGTAATGTGGAGTTACTGAAAGTTTTAATGTGGAAGAAGATTGTTATTATTTTGGTGGCAGCACAGAAGATGCATTATTAATAGGGCAATAAGAAAGTAGGGAGATCGTCTAGGAGAGTATTGAAGACATTGAGGGAAGGACCAAAGGATTTCTGAACCAAGACTCTCTTTGCAGGGACAGACAAGAATGGAGAAGTCTAAGAGAGATAGAGGAGGCAATTGTTATTTTTGGTGATTGATGGCAAGAGGTCAAGAATGTAGGTCCAGGTAAAGGGATGATAATGCCTTGGATTTATGCAACTTGATGTATCATAGTGCCTTTAACAAAAATAAGGAATATGTCTGAAAGTGAGTGGGATAGAGAAGTGTGGTGGAAATTAGTCCTTGGAATGCAGAATTTGAAATGCATCAGGTAGACTGTGGTAGAGCTGTCATATAAAGTGTTGGTGGGTAGCCTGGTCATTCAAGATAGAGAAATATTGGGGAGTTATTAGATATAGGAAAAGGTTAAAGCCATAAGTATGAATGAGAACTTTTCGCAGTGCCTTGCATGTAGCAGGTACTCCATAGATACTGGATCTGACTGAATGTCCCAAGAAGTTTGTACGGAGTGAGAGGGCCAAGCATGAGTCTTGGCCTGGGAGGGCAACTTTTTGGAATTGGCATAGAAGAAGGATCTGATAGAAGCTGTTGAAAAGGGAGGTTTGGCCAGAAATATAGATTAAAAAACCAAGAATAGGGTAGAAAAAACTAAGGCAAAAGTATTTAACAGGGTTCAAAGTTTAAAAAGCTCATACAATACGAGGAGAGAAAGATGTTTATTAACTTTTGAAATTGGGGGGAATCAGAAAGATTTGAAGTATTTTTTTCTGGTTTAAATATTTTGATCACAAACTTAAAAATACTTTTGTGTTTAAATATATATATATAAAATCATAAACTGCATATTGATCTTTCAGTTAATGACAAATTGCATATACAATGATGATCCCATAAAAGTATAGTGGAGCTAAGAAATTTCTATCACCTAGTGACGTCGTCACGGTCTCATTATAGCACAATGCCTTACTCATGTGTTTGTGATTACACTGGTGTAAACAAACCTACTGCGCTGCAGTCATAAAAGTATAGTACATACAGCTACGTATATTACATAACACTTGATAATGATAATGAATGATTATGTCACTGGCTTATCTATTTATTATATTTTAATCATTACTTCATAGTGTATTTGTTCTACCTGTAAAGAATTTTGCTGTAAATCAGTATGCCATGTTACCCCCGCAGCCGCCTCATATATCTCACATTTACCATGTCTCTTGATTGTATCATTTTCTTTTGTGGTTAACTTAATCTTGTGTTTTTTTGAACAGTGACTTGCTGTGCAGGCTTGTAGCTTAGTAGCAATAGACTACACCACATAGCCTAGGTGTGTAGTAGGCGATTCCATCTGGGTTTGTGTATGTGCACTCTATGATGCTGACATGACACAAATCACCTAATGATGCATTTTTCAGACTGTAACCCCATCGTCAGTGATGGAGAGAGAATTATGTATCACTAATGATACATATGTGTATACACATGTACACATGTACATATATAGTGTATATAAAATTTTACATGCATACATATGTGTATATACATATAAAAATTTTTAATACATTTATCCTCGTAGATGAGTTCCATGAAAGATCAGTGAGGCTTAATATGACCATGTCTCTTAGGTCATTTATTTATTTTTAGAGAGGGGGAAGGGAGGGAGAAAGAGAGGGAGAGAAACATCAATGTGTGGTTGCATCTCACACGCTCCCCACTGGGGACCTGGTCTGCAACCCAGGCATGTGCCCTGCATTGGGAATTAAACGGGTGACCTTTCGGTTCACAGGCCGGTGCTCAAGCCACTGAGCCACACCAGCCAGGGCTCTTAGGCTATTTTTTGCCATGCATTTTAACCAAAACTATCATAACCTTATGAGCTCTATGTACCTGTTTTTCAACAACATTATAAAAAACAGTGTATGCTTTGAGGACAGGAGGTATTTGTCACCTTGCAAATCTGAGGCTTAGGATATCCTCTGGTATATTATAAGCATTTAATAAATATTTAAAAAAAAAACTGATAGCCCTGACTGGTATGGCTCAGTTGGTTGGTAGTCATCCCACAAAGTGAAAGGTCACAGGTTTGGGTCCCAGTAGGGGCACATGTTGGTGCTGCGGGTTCAGTCCCCGGTCAGAGCGCATACACGAGGCAGCTGATCGATGTTTCTCTCTCACCTCAATGTTTCTCTTCCTCTCTTTCTCCCTCCCTTCCCTTCTCTCTGGAAATAAATAAATAAAATATTTAAAAAATAAATTTATAAACTTATGAATGAAACATATTAGGTAAAAAAACTCAGCTCAGATCCTACCACCAAAATTCTGCACATTTTTGCATAGTTATAATTGTAGTTTTTAAAATTTTTGTTCTTTTTTTATTTAATATTATTACATTGTTTCATGTCATATGGTTTTTAATAATATAAACTTCAAATTTTTATAGACCATTTCATCAATATAATGATTTTAATTTTCTTATTTAGAAAATACTAACCTTTGTTTAATAGTGTAACATTGAAATTATTCTTCATGTTTAAAGTGAGAAGAGCATTTCCTCACATTTCAGAAACTTTTCTGTTTATAATTTTAAAGTTCTATTTTATTTTTATTTAAAATTTTTTTCAATTATAGCTGATATACAATATTATATTAGTTTCAAGTGTACTACATAGTGATTACACATTTCTATAACATGAAATTTATACCATCTTCAAATGACTCCAACTAAGAAAATCACTAAGCAAGGCCACTCTTATGTGTGTAGCAAAAGTAAATACTTCTGCAGGGTTGTCAGCAGGTGATTTCGGGAGGCCAGACATTACTATTACTCAAATTCTGGCGGGCCAGCATACTAAGTTCTGCCAGTAGGGACTTGGTCTTTTAGCTTAAACTTTAGGTGTTATTTGGCTGGTAGGTGCAACTTTGAACATGAAAGGGAAGCAGCCATTTATAGCTCCCAGGAAATAAATTTGAATTCCTCTCTTGAGTGCCATATCTGAGGCAGTAGGTGAGGGGAGGTGGGGAATAGAGGATGAGGGTAAAGAGTTAGGAATGGAAATAAAATGTCAAGGTGCTAGTATCCTAAAGGGGCTGACAAGGGGAAAATAATCTTGCATAGCTGATTGCTTAACGCCTGGGCTTGTCCAGGACCTGCCTTATTCTTCCCAGCCGGGATATTTGATAACATGATCTCAGATGGAGCTTTTCTGCATCTGTGATGCACAGTGAATTAAGGCCTTTGGTAAATAAAGGCACATGGTGAATAAAGACTGTATTTTGGCAGAGAGCTATACTTTAAAAAATTATTTATTTATTTATTTATTTATTTATTTTTAGAGAGGGGAAGGAAGGGAGAAAGAGAGAGAGAAAAACATCAGAGTGTGGTTGCCTTTTGAGCACCCCCTACTGGGGACCTGGCCCTCAACCCAGGCATTTGTTCTGAATGGGAATCGAACTGGCCACCCTGTGGCTTGCAGTTTAGTGCTCAATCCTCTGAGCAACACCAGCTGGGGCAGAGAGCTATACCTTTCATAAAACTTTCCTATCTGTTTCTTTGATTCTCAAACAATTCAATGCAGGATGGAAATCGTCCCCATTAAGCTTTGATAAGAGGCCTAGACCAGCATGCTCCTTTTCTGTTTTGTTCCAAAATAGTCATGTGGTGGTCAGTGTCATCAGCCCTTATCTTAAGGAAGTGTTAGATTTGAAATAGGAATCCAAATGTGATGTTTATGGTACAGAAAATTTGGAAACAATTTAAATATTTGACAATAGGAAGTTACTTACCTATGTTAAAGCCAAATGATGTAGCCATGAAAAATGGTAAAAGTAATGATGATGGAGATCTTAATGATTTTTTTAGTGAAAAAATAGTTTATAAAATATGTAGACTGTGACTTTATTTTTAATAAAAATATATGTATGTTATATATGTATGTACTCATAAGCAAAAGGCACAATGAGGATGGTTAATTATTTCTGGGTGATAAGACTTTTAAATTTCCTTTTTTTTAATATGCATTTTAAACTTGTTTATAATGAACATGCATTATTTTTGTGGTAGTGTAAAAGGTTGAACTGAGTGCCTCTTATAGATTCATGAATTTTAGGGCCTTATTAAATAAATCCTGTCTTGACCTTCACTGGACAAGGTGTTCTGAGTACAGTCATGAGCCACGTAACCACAGGGACACATTCTGAGAAATGCATTATTAAGCAATTTAGTGGTTGTGCAAACACCATAAAGTGCACTTACACAGAGCTAGATGGTAAATGCAGGCTATATGGTAGAGCCTGTTGCTCCTAGCTGTAACCCTGTATGGCATGTTACTGTATGAAACACCACAAGATTAAATCAAGCACAAGAGAAAATGATGTAATCAAGAGACAAAGTAAACATGAGATATATGAGGCTGCTGCTGGTGTTACACTGCACGCTGTTTTTTTTTTTAAGTAGAAACTGTGCACTCTAAAATAACAATAGAAAGTACTGTATAGTAAATACACAAATCAGTAAGTCATTTATTATCATTATCAAGTATTATGTACTGTACATACTTGTATGTGCCATACTTTTATGTGACTGGAGTTATAGTAGGTTTACACCTACATCATTACAAACACGTGAGCAATGTGTTGCACTGACACTTGGGTGGGATGGATCCAAGTGACAGCAACTTTTCAGCTCCGTTATTATCTTTTGGTACCAACCGTTATCCTATATGTGGTCTGTTGTTGACCGAAATGCTGATATGGAGTGCATTACTGTAATCATTTTTAAACATCTGTGTTAAAGTTATATAAAGGGGCCCTGAGCAGTGTGGCTCAGTTGGTTGGGTATGGTCCTGGAAAGCAAAACTTCTCCGGTTCAATTCCCGGTCAGGGCACATGCCTCTGTTGCAGGTTTGGTCCTTTGTCAGGGCTCAAAAGAGAGGCAACTGATCTATGTTTCTCTCTGATGCTGATGTTTGATGTTTCTCTCTCTTTCTCCCTCTTTTTCCCTCTTTCTAAAAATAAATAAATAACATCTTTTAAAAAATAAAGTTAAATAAAGGGGAGAACAAAAAGAAATATTTGATTCACATTCATTATATTGAATACTTGGAACTTCACTCTTATTTTCTACTCTTATCTTCTCAATATCCCTTAAAATTGACTTTAGTTCCCCACTTAAGTACTGACAGCATCACAGCACCAAAGGTAAATTGGCAAAGATTACACACCAAAAATAAGTAATGAGGAAAACGGGGATAACTTAAGCGTGTCTAGCTCCAAGGCCCCCGCACTTTCCACCCTGTAAGGTTGCCTCCCACCTCCCCGCAGCTACCATGCCCCCTTCAGCAGTGCCTGGCCCCAGCTGCGGCAGGCTCTCCCCCTGACTCTCATACGGCCTCTTTCCTCCGAGCTTCTTTTCCTCCGTATCTTTGCTGCTTTCATGCCTCTTCCTTCTTTGAGTTCCATGTCTATCCAACCCGGTGGCATCAGTCTTAGCTCCAAAGCTATGATTCTTAACTCCGTTTGGAGCTCTGACCTCACTGTGACTCTTATGAACACTCTCTCTCCAAAATGTACTTTGCAGCTATAGGTAGATAGATATATACTTTCCGTACTATTTCAGTATATTCACGGACCCCCCCCGCCCCAATCTCAAGATTCTCGGGTTAAAAATCTTTACTGTGAGACTTTAAACACATGTTGCAGCTTCTCAGATAAAGCAGATGACAGTGATTGTTCATTTGGTTGCCTGTGACCTAATGTATATGTTTCTCTGAGATGATGCACTTCTTACAGCTCCAGGGGAAGAAATATGGGGTGAAAGGGATTTGGAGAATAAAAAAATATTTGCATATGATAGGCAGATCCTCGAATAATGTAGAGTTTCATTTAATATTGTTTTGTTATATTGTTGATGGGGTAAATATTTTTGTTTGTTTCCTTCCTTTAGAAATGAATGCTAAGGGAGTTATCCTCAATGCATTTGAACGCTATCGCTTAAAAACATGCATTGACTTCAAGCCTTGGACTGGAGAAGCTAACTACATATCAGTGTTCAAGGGCAGTGGGTGAGTTGAAGAGTTTGTCTTCTAAGAGTGCTAAGGACTCTAAGGAGAACGGTTGTGGCCAGGGCTTTATGTCACAGCAATTGCCCTAGGCCCTGACCTTGAGAGGGAGTGGGGACTTCCTTCTGTGTTTGTTGGAGAATAAAAGACAGCTGGATCTAGTTTCTCTAGACATAAAATAATATTTTCATACATGTAAGTAGACTACAAATTTTTTTAAGATAAGGAAGGTGGGATTCCCTGTCATCCATTCTACAACTTTGTAGACTTCTGCTACTCCTCATGGTCCCTTTAAGTAAAACACGAATGTGTGTGCATGTTGTGTATTTAAATTTATTTTAACCTAATGACTCTTACTACTTGAATTAAGAAGGTGACCGTGTTATTTGCTTGGAGCTTAGCAATACCTATTGGTTGCTATACCTATAAAACACTTATGAATGGTTATCAGTATGGCAAGAACTATCTGAAAGACTTGGAAATTTCCAGGAAAAATCAGGACGAGGCTGACTTAGCATGACTTGCTCCTATGTTGTATTTGGTGTCAGGGAAAGTTCTCCAATGGTCATCCAGTCTGGAAGATTTCTCGTACCTCACCAGGGTTATGAGAGAAATGAGTTGTGTTTTGTGAAGTGTCCAGGTGGGTAACTAAGTGGGTTAGACATTGGGGAACTTGCCCCGAGACCTCAGCCTGCATCATTATAACATCCTCTCTCCTTTCTCCTGGAAGCTGCTGGTCCTCAGTAGGAAACAGGCATGTTGGAAGGCAAGAACTCTCCATTGGAGCAAACTGTGACCGAATAGCCACGATTCAACACGAGTTCCTCCATGCACTGGGATTCTGGCATGAGCAGTCGCGTTCTGATCGGGATGACTACGTCAGCATAATTTGGGACAGAATTCAGTCAGGTATGTTTCTCTTGTTTTCTTACATTTTTAGTTAGTTAAAGACGGAGCGTCTAAGCATGGTGCCCTCTCCTGCCATCTGTACTAACTGTTAATAAGAGGAAAACTCTGATGTTTTGATGTCTTACTTCATTTAGCTCTAACTCAGTATGGGCTGAAGCGGGTGAAGGTTGTTGGAGCACAATATCCCAGGACCCTAGTACATTTGAGCTGAATATTATGTTAGAAACCAGTGCTTCCTAAAGCAATTTTTATGGAGTACCGTTCCACAATGTGCTCATGCGTGATGTGTGAAAAGCAATCTGTGGTCACATTAGTTTGCGAAATACTAGGTTAAAAGAAATTAAACTAACACTGCTGTACTGTTCAGAGTCTATTAGATTAACATGCATTGTAAGTCTCTGAGAGAGGAGCATTTCCCAAAGTGGCTTAGTTATGCTCTTTCTGTGTTTCATTTTGTGGAGCATTTGGATTTATTATTCTATGGAACCCCTGTTGGTTGACACTGCAGTGGCTGGACAGCCCCAACTTTTAGTGACTTTGTGTTCCAACAGAGAAAGGTCTTCACAACCAGGTCCAGCCAGAGCTCATGTTTTCCACAGTAACAGTTAGTTTCCCACCTGTGCTGCCTCTGTAAGGTGCGGTGGAGGGAACAGCGCTGCTACCATGTGGGCACCGTGAGGACTGCTCTGTACTGAGGCCCCTGACAGCATAATTTTAACGTCACAGCTCTTGCCCCTTATTGTCCCCTCCCCACACTGTCTTGCTCTCAGCTGGGGTAAGGCAGTGCAGCACACTAATGTTTAGCTTTCCTCCACATTCTGATTAATGTTTCCCCACTTAAGGAAACGTTAAGTGGGGAAACATTATTCTTTAGGATTCCCGAAGTCTTACTTTTCGTGGAAATTCCTGCCTAGACTTGACAACACATTCATGTGCTTTTGGAGATCAGATCTACCTCACTGTGCCCACAAAACCATTTATTTGATTTCAAGTTGCAATCAGCTGCCCACTGATATGATGTTAAGCAGCCTGGTACCTTCTCCAAATGTATTCATTTAAAATACAACGACACGTATTCCAGTAACCATGAAACCCCTGGCTGTGCCAATCCTTTCTAATGACTCGACATTATAGTCCCCAGGTCCCATCCCTCCTCACCTCTTCCTTTCATCTCCATCTGCTGTGGACGCCCACGTCCTCCCATCCTCACTTACCAATGACCCTGACCGTTTATTTTTATTTTTATTTATTTTCCTTTTTAATTGCATTTATTGGGGTGACATTGGTTAATAAAATTATGTAGGTTTCAGGTGTACAATTCTGTTATACATCATCTGTAATCTGTTTCAATAATGTCTTTTAGAATCCTCCTTTCTGTGGGCAGTTTTTAGAACCTTGGGCCCAATGCTAATGTCTAACTTTGAGCTGTAATGAAAACTTCGATATGTTCAGCATGACCACTGGTATCATGATTCTAAGCTTGAATGTTATAGTCTAAGGCAGGAATGTATGGGACACCCTTGAAATCCTGTAGATCAGTTGTAGCGAGGGCTGCACTATGTTTATTACAGTCTCCATTTCTAAGTTAACAGCACTCAAAGAAAAATAAGTTGAATTTTGTGACCATCAAGTAATTAAATTGTTTTTATTTATTATTTAGGCAAAGAGCACAATTTTAACACCTATGATGACCAAGTCTCGGACACACTGAATGTTCCCTACGATTACACTTCAGTCATGCACTACAGTAAAACTGCATTCAGAAATGGAACAGAACCCACAATTGTAACAAGAATCTCAGATTTCATGGATGTGATTGGCCAACGAATGGATTTCAGTGACTATGATCTCTTAAAGCTGAATCGACTGTATAACTGCTGTATGTGATAAGTTCTCTGAAATGCCTTCTGTTTCTCTCTGCTATGTAGGAAGAAAATTATGCTCTGTGCCATTTTGCTGAGCATTGCTGAGTTTTCTGAAATTATAAAAGCTTGATTTTTTTTTTAAAGAACTCAAATCCCAATCAATAATTTGGAAGCAACATTTTTCTTTTCACACAGTCTGGCTTTCAGATGTAAAAATAAATTGGGTCTCGAAGGAATATGACCCATGCTGGTTTTTGAAACTGCCACTAATTCAAATGTGAACCAACATGATATTCAAAACTCTTTGCAGCCCAAATGAGGTGGCCAGTCATAATATACATGGGATTCAATAATCTGGGTGGTGTTTTAATAATCTGAATAACTAGAAGAGTACAGACTCAGGTTTCTATAATTAGACAATTTAATAAAAAGACGTGGGGCAAGCAGTTTATTCAGATCCGCAGAGTTGGTCAGTGTCTTGGTTCTGCAGATATCAAGAGGTCTTCAAGCTGCCATCTCCCAGAATCAGTGTGATGCCCCCCTTTAATGCCATCTTGGCATTCCTAGTATGTCTGCAATAAGCTCAATTTTTATTTCTTAAATTATCATGTTGTATGAATGTCAATTGTGTTTTGCTTTTGCAGCCTCTTCCTTCAGCTTCATGGACTCATGCGATTTTGAGCTGGAAAATGTATGTGGCATGATTCAAAGTTCAGGCGACAATGCTGACTGGCAGCGGGTTCCACAGGTCCCTGCGGGGCCAGAGAGCGATCACTCCAACATGGGCCAGTGCAAAGGTAATGGGAGTGAGAGGCTTCTGGATTTTACTTATACTCAGTGGGGTTCTAGCTTTTTTCTTTGCTATGAAAGACTAGGATTTTATCTCTAATTTCTATCAGAATTATTCATGATAAGCCATTAGGCTGCTACCAAGGAATCAGTTCTGTGCCTTATAAAGACATGCTTAATTTCTTTGCTTTTATCCTCTGAGTTTGCTTTTCTTTCTGAGTGAGAGCTGGGCTCTGTGAAGCCTCTACCTCATCATCTATGTACCCACAGCAGGAGACTCTTATTTCTGGGGTAATGGGGTTGTTTTCTCGAAGCTTGTGGAATACAAGAGACTTCCTAGTAAACAGCACTAGGCTGTGAATTGATCAGCTTCAGAATTTTACCTAGTCGTGAGTGCCTGCTCCTGCTACAAAAATACTTAGAATGAAGGTAGAAAGAATCATTTATTTAATTTTATTCAGATAAGTAGTTTTTCCTTTGTAATTTTATTTTAAATTATATAAGCACTCTTTTTTTTTTTTTTTTTTGGCTACAAGTAGCAAATTTTCATTTATTTGCTCATTTCTGGCAGCAAATATGTAAAACTAGACTTCAGAGCCCAGAGCATTGCTTGACAGTTCAGATGCTCTAGTCAGGGTGTAAGGCCTCCAATAGTGAAGAGGTGCTTTTCCTTTTTAGGGTGGGTGGGGAGGAAAGATGTTTTCTAAGGGTACAAACCTGCAATGAGCATTAAATAAGCCCTAGAGATCTAATGCACAGCACAGTAAATATGAATAACAATATTGTATTATAATCATCAAACTTGCTTACAAAAGTCTAGAACTTAATTATTCCAACCACTTAAAAGAAATAAATTTTATGTAACATGATAGAGGTGCTGGTTATCATTCTAATAACAATCATGTCACAATATGTAAATGTATCAAATTAACATTGTATATTTTAAATTTCCACGATGATATATGTCAAATATATTTTAGTAAAAATATTTTTTCTTTTTAAATGTAGATTTGGATAGTGGATAGTGGTCTTACATAGGCCAGAGGCGCGGGGATGAAAGGGACGGAGGGGAGAGAGACAGACAGACAGACAGACAGACTAGATCCAGTAGGTGACACTTTTTTCCATTTTTGAAAACTAATGTCTGTAGTAAGGAAAAGGTGGCCTGGTGTTGTCTCTTCCATAGACTGTCTGCTCTTAGAACCATATTTAAATGTCCCACACAGTGCCCTGCATACCGTGGGACCAAAGTGAACTATAGTGCCCATAAGACACACATTCTTACACCCAGCATCTGTTTTTCTCTCAATTGTGCTTTTATCCTTGTAACAGGTTCTGGTTTCTTCATGCACTTCGACAGCAGCTCTGTAAACATGGGGGCCACCGCAGTGCTGGAAAGTAGAAAGCTGTATCCTAAAAGAGGATTTCAGTGCTTGCAATTTTATTTATATAACAGCGGAAGCGAAAACGACCAACTGAACATTTACATCAGGGAGTATTCTGCAGGCAATGAAAATGGTACTTTAACCCTGGTGGAAGAAATAAAAGGTACTGTATCAACATCCTTATTGTCTGGGTTCAGAGTGAGGCAATCTTAACTCTATGCGACACAACAACCTGCAATAGGGTAAGGGCTATGGGCCCATTAGTTTCAACTTAGAACTTAATCCGGCTTGTTCTATGCTGTGGTGGTCCTCTGTGTGCCCTAATACAGGGATTTTCAGCCGCGGTTCCTCAGAAGTTTAGTAATTAGTTTATGCGTGCCATGAGACAAAAAGGTTGGAAATCACTGCTCTAAGGTGGGCATTCACTTAAGAAGCTGTAATCAGTCTCTGACACTGAGGAGGTCGGTTCTTGGCAAGTAATAAAAATACAATGGAAACATGTTAGGCAAAATGGGGAAAATTACTGGATCAGTGTAACTAAATGGCGGAGAAGGCCTCAGGAAGGACTGGACCTGTCCCTGAACAGTGTTGGGGACCTCTCCTGCTATCTCAGATGGGCTTTAGCTGTTTTACTTCCCAGCTTACATCTTACCAAATGTGCCATCAGACTGGAAAGGGGACTCTTCTTCTAATTTCTAGCTTAAAAATAAGTCCCGGTGAAGGGTTCCAATTTTTATGACTGAAGGTAAATGGAACTCCTGGAGCGATTCCTGAGCGGAGAGAGAGAAACATGGCTGGGCGCCTACCCTTCATTCCAATCTTGATAGTGAGGTGGGTCGTGTCTATCACCTACTAAAGCGGATGTTTAAGAAGGTTCTCTGAGGAGGAGGCGCCATGGGCCGGCAACTACATTACTGTCTGCTTCATACATTTATCTCTTGGTTTGAATGAATTGAGTAAAACGTATTGTAGAACCGACCCACGTTATGCTATATGTCATCCACTCCCCTCCCCCTCACTGTTGAACCATGAGAAACACTCTGAAAACAATATTTTCCTTTGTGAACACCAACAGTGAGGTTTTTAATCTCATTTTATATATACACATACATATATATACACACACACACCACATAATATACATATATTACTACGTACAATACAATATACAATATATGAGATACATTTTATATAGATATTCCTCTCTATTAGCAACCTGTGGTTGCTATCATTGATAGACAATAGTGCAAAAGGTACTTAAGAAACTTGCTTCGGAGTCCAGAATTTAAACTGACAGTATTAATAATACTAAAGTGGAAGCTCTCATGAAAGGCTTTTGTTCAATCTAGAATCCATCTAGTGACAATGGCACTTTCTGTAATTTGAATATTTCTAAGTTATTTCCAGGCTATTATGTTTTACATTACATGTCAATGTATTTAAATTTTAAGACATTGTGTTAATTATGAGTTTCACATAAATTGAGCTGTTTTCTACCTGGGGGATTCTGAAAAAAAATTAAATGTACTGCTCCTTATTTGGATATGCAATACAGGAAAATAAGATAGGATGGCATAGCTGTGCTGCTAGCTAGAGGTGGGGGCAGATTGTGGAGAGGGAAGTGCAGGTTGGGGAGGAAGGAGGTGGCACTAAATATTAGAGAAATATTTTTAATGTTGAGTCAACTGGTAATGATCTAAAGAGTAAATTGTCGGATGTAGGCTTTCTAGGGTTTGGTGGATTCCTGTTTAATACTGCCAAAAAGTTGACTTGAAAATTTGCATGTGAAGGAAGTGTTTTAATCAGAGTATAAATATATTAAAGGAGGCTTTGGTTGAGTATCACAGGAATCATGGGTACAGATGTAGTATATTGGGCTTGCTTGACCATTTAATTAACACAGAACAAAAATGGAATGAAAGGTAACCCGTAAGTAGGGCATGAGTTAGATGCTGTTGTTGGATCACCCACCTCCGGGAAAGGACAACCTCTCTGAGAAACAGCTAGGTAAATATCCGAATATTCCAGAGAGGAGTCTGACCCCACAGAAATACCTGACAGTAAATGGAGCGCTGCTGGAGGAGTGAGAAAGCCGTTAACTCACACCTGCAGGAATCAGTATCTCTGGGATGAACATTTGTCCATGAGGGTTAGAATTCTAATATTGATTTGCACATGAATCCTTGTCCTTTGTCTTTGAAATAATAATGTCTGTTTTGCAGATATACCCATTGGGAGCTGGGAACTTTACTACGTAACACTGAAAGTAACCAACAAATTCAGAGTGGTGTTCACAGGGGTCAAAGGCGCTGGCGCATCATTGGGTGGCCTATCTATCGATGACATCAATCTTTCAGAAACGCGGTGCCCTCATCATATCTGGCGTATAAGGAATTTCACACAGCTCATTGGCAGCCCAAATGGATCTCTATATAGTCCTCCGTTTTATTCTCCTAAAGGTTATGCTTTTCAGATTTACTTGAATCTAAGCCATTCCACTAATGCAGCAATATATTTGCACTTGATCTCTGGAGCCAATGATGATCAATTACAGTGGCCATGTCCTTGGCAACAAGCCACGATGACACTCCTGGATCAAAATCCTGACATTCGAAAACAAATGTCCAACCAGCGGAGTGTAACTACAGACCCATTTATGACCACCGGTTCGTGACTCATTTTCTTTATTGCTAATACACGATCGTTGCTCTTGGAGGGACAGATGATTTGGGAATGAGAGACAGCACAATCAGGCACCTAGGGAATTTCGAGCCCAGGTCTTAGGAACAGAAGCTATTTAGGGGAAGGTTTTTAGCAGTTGTGGATTGTCCAGAATGTCAACAGGGATGCCAACACATGGAGAAATATTGACTGTAGTCCTGGAATTGACAGCCACATTTGAATTTGCAGTGTTGTGCCAAGTATGTAGGTTTTATTTTTATTTCTTGTACTTTTATTTTTTTAACCCTGAATTTTTTTCTTTAATCCACCAGACTTAGAATAAATTTTAAATCTTGGTTATCAGTGGGATCCAAGGCTGGCGGGACTATTGCTTGTAGAGTCTGATATACCTGGATTAAAATCCAAGGTTTGCTTTTCATTATCTAAGCAAATAGACCTTGAGCAAAAAATCTCCTGGAGCCCCAGAGTCTCAGTAATAAAACTGGGGCTGTAATAATAAACTGCAGAGATTTGTTGTGAGAATCATGACAGATTAAGCATGGAAATTTGTAGAAAGGTCTGGTATGGAGAAGTCCACAATTGTTGACTTCTCCTAATCCATGCTATGCTGATTTTACCACTGGGATTGTCAAAACCAAGTCACGTCTTGTAAATGGGGGATGGTTTTGGATCAGAAGGAAGATGAGCAGATGCTCTGGAGTGTTGGGAAGGGTTGGGAGTACGTTATAACTTTTTATTAAATGCGCTAGGGGATTTGTCAATAGTGACATCATTCTTCATCTTCCTTTCTCAAAAAAGGAGCAGAACCTAGAAAGCAATGATCACATTTCTAATTTTAATAATCCTTTGCTATCTGGGAACCCAATAAAAGGACCAATGGAATTATGGCAAAGGGAATATTATTGCCAAATCTGAATTCTATATATGAAAATAATGGATCCAAGTGACATAGAAAAGTACCCTAATTTGATAGGTGAAAAATAACATTCATCAAAAGGATTGTAGAGACTAGACGTTCAGAATTTTTTTACTTTAAAAAAGAATACACTCCCCCTTAATTACAATGACCGCAGCCCAGGGTCGGGGGTCCTCACGTCTCGCAGAGGCAGCGTTCTTCTGCTTTCTGCTCCTGAAGGACGCTGCGCTGTCGGGTGCATGATTCAGTTAACAAGATAAACTATTCTGTGCTAATATTAAAAACTCTCTCAGTAACATATTGATTTAACTCAGTTAAAAGGCCTATTTGTAGCTCAGAAGGCCACTAAGGAATGATTCTTATGGGCAAGGGGGTCCCCATACTGGTTGGTCAGTATAGAGATAACACCCCACCTGGACAACTTTGGGTGCCCCTCTGCTCATATTCCAGAATGTGGTCCTTTGTGCCAGGCATCTCTCTTTCTGCAGGACAGTGTAAATGAACGTGCCCCACTGACTTGCCAGGGAATACATCACAGGTCGATAGTATCATTTAATTATTTTGAGCTTCTTCTAATTGTGTTTCACATTGCCTGTTCTTTCCTACCATCAGAAGCTATGATGATGCTAAACACAATCCATTAATGTAAATTGCTTTTTCAGATAATGGAAACTATTTTTGGGATAGACCTTCCAAAACGGGAGAAGTGGCTTTTTTCCCTAATGGAACTCGATTTAACAGAGGTAGGGGCTATGGAACCAGTGCCTTTATAACCCACGAGAGGCTGAAAAGCAGAGATTTTATAAAAGGAAATGATGTTTACATCCTTCTGACTGTGGAAGGTATGTCAATAAAAATAGGTTTATATAAGTTATTTTTGTTGCTGTGGTAACCATTGATTATTTACTATGTTCTTCCGGGTTCCATTTTTAGGTATTAAATAGAGATGTGGGAGGAAATGGGCCAGAGTGGAATTTTTTTTTGTATAAATCATTAACAATATGAAAATAATTTAAATGGAAACAGTGAGGGTTCTAGGATAAAGAATTTAATTACTGCTACATGAAGTAATAGTGAAAAAGTTTAGGCCAGAAAACTTTTTAGAAATAAGTTAAAATATAGCCATTATACCCTAGAATGATAGACTAAGATTCCAGAAATAAAAATATCACAAAAGCCCATGAAATTAGCCTTAAAATGGATTGTCTTTTTCAAATACACACACACACACACACACACACACACATCTTGGCGGTAATAACTATAGTCTTTTAAAGTTCCTTAGCTACGGCAGCCAAAAAATACATTTTTCAGGAATACTGGTAGTTTCCATGATTGATGTGGTAGGATTTTAACTCACTATTAAAGACCCACTTACATCTCAGTAAATCAGAATCTTGTTTGTGATGAAAAGTGGTGCAATTAAAATCCACGAAATTTTGATTTCAGTGTCAATTAGAAAAAATTATTCGGGAAAACTTTTGTCGAGGGAGAAGAGGCTACATAAAAGGTTTTCTCCCTTGACAAAAGTCACACGTTCATCAGTTATGCTTGACCCTGTTTGAATAAGAAGCAACAGAAAACACCACAAAGAACAGAACTCTGGTTGTCAGGAGACCTGATATCTTTCACCAATTATCTACCAACTGCTCTACAAAGCAAGAGACCTGTGATTTGGGGCAAGCCCTTAGGCTGCATTTTGACCTGCTCTTTGGTTTCCCTGTCTGACCCTTGGGAGTTGGTAGTATAAAAAAAAATAACAAATGGGGCCGCTTTAAAATGGAGCTGGAGCTGCCATGCCAGAGAAACGGCCTTGTGTGTCCCTTGTCTCACGCCTTTGGAATGCTAAAACAGGGCAAAAGAACCTTCGGACTGGGCCTACAGCAACCTCGTGTCCGAAGAACTCTTTGCAAAAATAACAAGAAAGCAGACATTAAGACTACCAGACTGAAAATTAAAAACTTCCTTTAGAATAAACATCACTATGTTATGTTATCTACATGATTCGAAAGCCTTCCTTCTATTGGTACAATTTTTCCCATACCCTTTCTCATAACTACCCCTTGCTTTTGACTCCTGATCAGCACCTTATTTGGGCTTCTGCCTGAATCAATGCCTCCCCAAAGCTGTTCTTTTGATCCCAAATGCTTGTTGCCCCTCACTTGGAAAGGCCTTTTATTTTGAGGTTAGCAGTAACAACGGCTTGGGCCCCTTAGAGTTCAGCGGTGGCCCAGCTTCCCTTTGCATCTAGATAACAACCGAGGCATTTATTATTTCACTGCCTATGAGTATCTGTTCTGAAATTTAAAGATCAAATCCTTTTTAAAGCAAAAACTGATTTCTATCCATGCTCTTTCTCCCCCTGCCGCCCGTAGACATATCCCACCTTAACGCTACACAGACTACGCCAGAACCCCCCTCTATCAACACTGACCCTTGCACAAACTTCAAGTGTGAGAACAACGGCATCTGCACTGTCCACGGTGGCAAAGCTGAGTGCAGGTAAGGGGTCACGTGGACGCAATATCCCCGTTCTTTTGTTTGAAAATTTCTCATTCCCACAATGAAGAATTAAATACTGATATTTTATATGAGTGAAATTAGTTAATTTTCATCTCAAAACCATTCATAGGATATTTATTTTTTGCTCTTCATTTGGGACTTTGGAGAGCCACAAGAACAATAAAATTACTTATGAAAAAGAGCACATTATATTTCTAATTGCCTGAAAAAGACCCTCATGAGTTACATATCTGAAGTCCTCATGATAGTTTGATGTTGTTAAGTGTGACTGTCCCCATTTCGTAGCTGGAGATACTTAAGTTTTGAGGAGAGCTTGGCCAAGATGTGCAACTGGGAGGAGGGAGCAGGGCATTGCAAACTAAATTTTCTCCATTACGTAGGCTACCTTTCTTTCCCCCGGGAGCTGCTGCTTTTAGCACCAGATTAGGAGTCATTCCATCTTTCCTGTCTGTTGGCTCTCCCTGTCCTCCTGGTGCTGGTCTACCCATCCACGCCCCTCTGGGCCAGACTGGGTGAAACGTTCCAGGTGTCAGCGACCCACATGCTGACCCACACCATTAATGGTGAATGTGTTCAGATTTAAATATCGGAGCATGACAGCCGTGTTCTGAATGTGTAGGTGTCCGTCAGGGGAAGACTGGTGGTACTTGGGAGAGAGGTGTGAGAAGAAAGGCTCCACTCGAGATACCATCGTCATCGCCGTTTCTTCCACCGTCGCCGTGTTTGCGCTGATGCTGATCGTCACGCTCGTCAGTGTCTACTGTATCCGGAAGAAATACCGTAAAACGACAAGTTCAAACTCAGCAAGTATTACGCTGGAAAATGTAAGTTGAGTCTCCTACTTGGTTATTCAAAACCTATTGATGAAATTGTATGAAGAAGAATTAAGGCTTTTTAAATACACTTAAAAAAAAGTTCTGGGGCCAACTGCTTTGAGACTGAGTTTTTGTTAACTTCACTATAAATCCACGGTTCTTAAATTGGAAGCCATGGTGGCTTTTGGTGGGGGGTTTATTATCTTCCTAGAATTGTATTCCTTCTGAGAGGCAAAACTGATTTCACCTGTAAGTTCCAACCTTCCTGGTAAAGGGGAGAGGTGACCTCTATGTATTTTTTAAGGTCCTTGAGTGATGGCTGAGCTCAGGCTTGTAGAAAGGGGGTGCCAGCATATTTGGGGCTTTCCTATGAGAGAAGTTTCCAACTAATTCAGGCTTCATGTGCGGTAACTAAATATAAGGCAAGATTTCCAAGCAGAGGTTTAAAGTCTTGCCTCAGACAGTCTCTAACACGGCAATAGACTCTAAAAAACGCCTTGTCGCAGAGCGGGCTCCTGGGAAGCAGACTCAGGGATGGATAAGGGCATGCAGGAGGGTCATTTGGCAGTGTCCTCGGGAGGCACCAAGGGGGGGAAGCGGGATCGAGCAGTAACAGCTGAGCACTCAGCCCACCCTCAGTCTCTGAAGCTGGGATGGCCCCTTAAATGTGTCCCAAATGGATGCAAGGCGGGTACTCACCACATCAACAGCCATTGAATTGGGGATCCCCCTCAAGAAGAGCAGAAAATTGGGCAAGTGCATACTGGGAGGAGGGCAGAATGACCTTTCTGAGGCTGAAGTGTGTACTCACTCGAATGCTTAGCATTTAACAGAGTGGACAGGGCATCTTCCCGGAGACAAGGGCTGGGGCTGCTGGCCTGCTGGGGGGCATGCTGGGAGGACGCCAGGAGACTGCTGATGGTGTTTCATTAAAACATTAGACCATTTCATTGTGATTTATTTAAATGACAGTTTTTAAATTTGGAAATTAAGTCAACAATTTTTCTTTCCCCTTTTAGCAACATACATTTTGAAGATGAACTCAACAATACGGGCAGCAAATACAATTCAAAAGGACTCTTTGTTATGGAGTTCACTGAAATATATTACAATCACCTCATTCTTCTATAAATGGATCATCTCTGGAAATAGCTAGATACACCATAGTAAGGCATTTTGGTAAATGGCTAATTAGTGAAGTGTTGGGAAATGCCTCGTCTGGTTTCAGGAACTGTAGCCCCACCAACAGGCAAGAGGGCCCCAAGTCTGGAGCTAATCAAAGAGGCCTTGGAAAAACAGGCCACTGAGGAGATAAAACCTGTCCGCCTGGTGGGGGCACAGCCCCTGCCCCCCTTGCATCACCCTGCTTGACACTGTGACGGTCGGTATCCATGACGGGTTAAGTTTTTCTCATGAGGAGAAAACAGCCTAAGACAGACATCGGCCAGTATGGGCAGCAGACAAAGACTCGGGGGACATGGAGAAAGGGCAAAAAGGCCCACACTCCTTGGCTCGGCTGGGACATAGCTAGAGTCCTCATTCTATCTGAAAGAAGTCTCCTTATCTCTTGGTGGCTCTGCCCCTCCCATGTGGCTCAGGCTTGAAACAATACTAAAGGCAGGTCCAGCCCCCAAGTGGATCAGGCGGTCCCAGGAGACAATCAGGCCTGGAAGCATGCTTTCTCGAAGCATGCTTTGTTCTTCCCTCAAGAGCTATGATAACTGGCTCACACTGGGAAGGAGATTTACATTATTCATAGACCCTGACCTGAGGCAGGTCTCTTGTGTTCCTCCCATTGTTATCTATGTTCTCTGTCTGTTTTCTGTAAACATAGCCTTTTGACATTGATTGTTGAGTTTTGTTGTATAACCCTGTGCATATGGTTCTCAATAAAAGTCTTTGGACACCGGGGCTTGGGGCCTTCTCCCCTAGAGGGAAGGGCCATGTCCCCTCTCCTGGCAAACAGAGAAGGGTTTGCGATGACTCATGTTTATTTCCCCCATTTGGGACAACTCCGGGACAGGCTCTGCGGAATTCAGAGCCCTGCTCCCTCCTCAGCTGCCTCCGGACAGTAACCCTTAGATCCAGGAGCCCTGTGCTCCACCGTGGTGCTCCCCGCAACAAGTTGCTTCCCGCAACAGGTTTGTGTTTTTGTTTTTAAAGCGGGGGGGAAGCAAACAAATAATAATAAAGGTGGGGAAGAAATTCAGGTTCCTCCAGAATATTATTGTCTCTAGAAGGAGCACAACAGAGAGAGAGAGCTTTCCAAATGACCAATCCTTTATTTGGGTACCAAGGGTAGTGGCCTTACAAGCGATTGCCTAGAAACCTAAAGAACCTTTGCTTATGAGCATGACATTTATCGATACTTAGTGGGAATTCAAACCAGAAAAATTTAAAGCTGTGTCTTTATTAATCGTTCAAAAATAGTAAGCTCAATTATAATAGCGTACATCATGTGTTTAATAAAAATAATTGTATTTTCCAAAATAAAGAAAATTTAGTAAAAAGAGAGGCATTGTTTTCATTTTTTTGCAAGTTTCTAATATCTGGCTTGATAAAAAAACAGCTGAATTCTCATATATATGTGTTTGCATTCAATTCAGTCTGTTGTGATATATTATTTAGATGAAGAGAACAAAGAATCTAATATCATACAGAAATTTAGCTGAAAAAGGGAGACATATTTGAATAGTTTTTCAGGTGATTGTGGATTCTTTTTTTAATACTTTGGTCAAAGTTGACAAATGGTAATTTCTTAAAAGTTAGTTGCATTTGGAATCTGAAACCACATCACTGAACCATTCTACTCTGCCCAGTAATTCCACTGGTCTATTATAATTTGAACGTATCATTCAACTATGCATGGTTGTGTAATATTGAGCATTGATTATTTAGAACATATTAATTCACTGAATTATGCTGCTCTTAAAGCTTTTGGCACATTTCTTAATTTATTAACCATATTAGTTAGTGTCACCACTCATTTCATAAAAAGTCTTTAGATCTTGGGAAGTTGACAGTCATGGTGGCACAAGCAAATTTTTCAAAATTCTAATTTTTGCTTGGAAGCTGAATCTTACCATTAGCAAAAGTACCGTTTCCCTTGTAATGACAAGCTCACTTCATCACTTTTTTTAATTCAAATTTTATTTTGTGAGCACTGTAGATTAACACGCAGTTGTAAGAAATAATACAGAGAGATCCCATGTGCCCTTTATTTAGCTTCCCTCAACTGTGACATCTTGCAGAACTAGTGTACAATGTCACAACCAGGATATTGCATTGAGACAGAACATTTTCATTACCACAAAAATCCATCAAGTTGCCTTCATATAGCCACATCCATTTCCCTCTTGTTCCCACCTCCTGTTTGTCTCCTGGCAACCATTAATTTGTTCTCTATTTCTATCATTCTGTCATTTTAAAAATAACAGAACCACAAGGTATAGAACCCTTGGGGATTGGTTGCTTTTTTTTTTTTTTTTTAACCTTAGTATAATTCTATCTAGGTTGTTGCATGCACGGTAGTTTGTTCTTTTTTATTGCTGAATAACATTTCATGGTATGGATACACCACAGTTTGTTTAATCATTCACTTGTTGCAGGACATTTAGACTGTTTCCAGTTTAGAGCTATTATAAATAAAGCTGCTATAAATGTTTACATATAGGTTTCTGTATAGTCACGTCTTCATTTCTCTGAGATACATGCTCAGGATACATTGCTGGGTCATGGTAGTTGCATGCTCAGCTTAGGTGTTTTTCTGTTTTTTGTTTTTAAAGCAACTGATGTAACAGGGCACAGCCAGGGCCCCCCCCAAAGGGTATTTGTAACAGGGTCCAGAGATTGGGGTGTCCAAGAAAAATATGTTCTCCCATGGCGGCCCACCCTGGGGGATGGGAGTCTTGAGCAGGGCCACTGAGAGTCATTTTGCATGTCAATAACAGGACAGCTTCATTCCTCATATGCAAAAAGATTATTTTGCATATCACCAAAGCTAATCAGGACGGTTTAAAAGACTTAATGCAGAACATAACTGGAGAGGGAAGGAGGAGAGACAGGGGCCCCCGGGAGAGAACAGGGACAGTCTCCGGAAACAGTGTGAAGACCACGTGGGAAGAAAGAGGGGAGAAAGGACTCTTGCTCGTGGGCCATGAGAAAGTGCCCCACGGTTATGGATTAAAAGCTGGAGATCGCAGCGGATGGTGCTGAGAGCTGTGAGAGGCCTGCCTAGGCAGGCCCTGGACTTCCGTTCTTTTTCTTCTGAAGGATGGTACCCCTGACAGGCCTGTCTGGCTTAACTGGGCAAAGGTGGGGAAGGCAGGACGGTGTGTGTGCTGGTGATTGTTTTAAAGGGATTTTGAGGTTTAAGGGTGACATTTAGCCATTCATCAAACCTGTATAATTTTTGAATAAATAGTTCCTTTCCTTTTCACCAAACTCTGCCATTCAGAGCCATCATTCCAAGGGTGGCGGGCAAAAGACCTATAACCGAGGGACCCCGGGGAAAGGGGTGTTGTTTTGGTAATAGCATCTGGGCACCCCGCACCCCCCCCAGCCCCACGGGTCCATTTGCTTGGTAACACTGACAACTGATTTGCTGAATGGCTGCTTCATTTTATAGTCCCACCAGCACAGGTGATCCAGTTTCTCTGCATCCTCACTAGCTTTTGCTGTTGTCACTATTTTTTAATAGGCTGTTTTTCAGAGTAGTTTTAGATTCACATCAGAACTGAGCAGAACTTAGGTTTCCCACATAAGCATAACCTCTCCCACTATCACCATCCCTACCAGAGTGGTTAAGTTTATTACAGTTCATAAACCTACTGATAATAGTAACCGACACATTACTTTTATCACCCAAAGTCCGCAGTTTGTTTACATTAGGATTCACTCTTGGCGTTGTACATTCTATTGGTTTTGACAAATGTATAATGACATGTATCCACCAAAACAGTGTCCTACAGAATAGTTTCACTGCCCTAAAAATCCTCTGCTCCATTTATTCATCCCTC